AAAAATCCTTAGAAATCATTAGAAAATTAAACTAAGAAAGTTTTAGAAATCTAGAAAGGAGACCCTAAGAAATAAAAGCCCAAAGTGATCCTTAGACGCTCCTAGAAAAATCCATAAAAATACAAGTATCCCTAAAAATGTAAAAGTCCTTGGAAATACAATGTCGCATTTTCAAGCACCATAATAGTAACATACAATCACAAATACCCATTGCAACCTTCATCTATAGAATTTACCTGTTAGAAATTCCCATTTTTACGTCTTCATTTTTTCTTCACGACTGCAATCAGGTTGTTAACTTATGTAAACAGGATATCCTCGAAAGTAAACGGACTATTAGTTACAACTGTACCGAGGGAGAGGCCTTGACGAAGAGGAACGATGCAGTTAAGGCGGGCATAGAGGCGAAGAGGTTGGATGGACTGACTAGATACGCGAGGGATTATCAGGAGAAGCAAGGATACTTCGAAGAAGGAATGCAGCTTATCTATCATTACGGCGGAATGGACGCTAAAAATCCTCAAGATAAATTAGCTCAGGGAACCAGACATAAGCGTGCTCATAGAGGGAACGAAACTGATGTGAGCACTTTCCTTCGATGATATCTTAATAATTTTCTTCTAATTATCTAGTCGAATACTTTTTATTGTTTCTTCTTTCATATTTTAAGGACGATGTGATGCATGTTATTATGAAAATAAGAGTTCCCCTGCTTCGCGTGAAATCTGATTATCAATTAACGGGAAAGGTTGGGAAGGAATTGGTGACAGGAAACGGACAGCTCATTGGCAACTTCAGTGAGTATTTTTGTTTCCTTTCCAATTTTTTGAGTATGATTATTCAGAACGTTTTCAAATTTTTTCCTTTTTTTTTTTTAAATTGGTTATTTAAAGTCGCATCAACCATTATGGGTTATTAGCGACTTAATGTCTAGGTTCGCAGTTTATTGTATAATTTGTTGGTACATACCTTTAGTAATATCTTTTTTAGTAAAAGTTGAAGCTTATGGATGTGTTAGTATGATAGAGTTCTTCTGCAGTCTTTCTATTAGGGTGGTGTCAATGAAATGCTTCTTTAACAGCTGAAACTGACGGGTGGATGCCATATATTAAATTTTGTTCGATCATAAATTTTTGTACGCAGTAATAAAAAAGAAGGAATTTGCTGTAACAGACGTGTATTGAATAGTAAACAAATTCATAATACAATTGTTTGGACATACAATAATCGGGATGTGCGCGTAATTTTTGTACACAAATTTAAACTTGAAAAACTACAATAAAAACTGCTGAAAATATGAGTTACGTAAATGTAAGGGCACTTCAACGTTGGTGTGCAAAATTCAAGATTGGTGACTTTTCGTTGGAAATGAGCCAAGAGTAAGGCCAGGTAGGGTCGTCGATGGTAACGGTTTAAGAAAAATTATTCAAAGCAATCCACAGTAAAGAATATAAAATTTTACCACATCGTTCCCTATTCATTACCCAACAAATTACCATTTCTTCAAACATCTGAACAATTTTCTTAACAAATAAATTATCCCGAAATGAAAACACTGTGAAAGTAGCATTCGTAGAATTTTTTAATTGAAAGACTGATGATTTTTTTATATTTGAAATTATTTTGATTAAATACATTATTTCTCGAAGATATTTTTTATTTCATTATTTCTTAATAATATTTTTGCAATTTTAATCTTTTATGCTTTCAGTTTTCTATATTATTTAAAATTCCTTTCTTGTTTATATCTTCAAAAAGAAAACGCTTGCTCCAGCAGAAAACTTATTACGTTCATTACCTGCTACTGGAAGGATTAAGAACTAGAAAATTAAAGACTGCGACATGAGTGTTATTATTTTCAGCTGAGCTGGTTGGTGACTTCACCATCGAACTGACGAAGACCAGAGGTCAGGACATGCTAATTGTGCGTGCAGCCAGGAGCAAATTATATGCCAAAAATCAAAAGGTCTCGTTGGAGGGAATGAACGAAGAGGGACCGTTACAATCGATTCTCGGTCATGGTGAGTAGCCGTTGTCCTAAATATACCTTACTTAACTCTCGAGCTGACGTAAATGTCACGTTTACGAAAAACACAACCATCGTTGAATTCGGAAATGCTAATAATTTAGAATAATCTTATTAGGAATGTTAGCAATATTCTGACAAAATGATTTTGCGGCACAAATTGTGCAAAAAGAAGGTACACTACCGGCCAAAAGTTTGGAATCACCTCCCACTTTTCATCAGTATTAAATCTGCTGCTAATTTTTTATAGATTTGAAGTTTATCTCAATTCTACTTTTATCATGATTCGAACGATAAAAAATTCTCAAAGTCGCTGGCTATTTTCTGGAAATTTTTGTGCAAATTGCAATGCTCGGTGATTCCAAACTTTTGGCGGGTAGTGTAGGTGAGATTAACCGAAATTAAGAATAATCGATTTCTCCGAAATGTAATTAAACGGAAAATCGCGTTGATTAGAATGACATAATACATCCGCGAGGGAAACGCTTGTGAAAAGCGATCGCGTGTCGCAGACGTGTTAAGATGGCGGACGACAACACAAAGCCGGTTCGGGGCATTATGTAAAAGCTCTTTAGTCTGATCCCGTTGCGTCACATAGTTAATGCTTTTCCGTAATTAGCGAACGTCGTGAAAAACGGTGGAGAAAAGGAGGAATTCGTCGATGGAAAGTGATGTCAATCGATCCGAAAGTTGCGTTTGAATATTGTCGATCGAGCGGATATTCCCGTGCTTAAGCTGCGGAACGTCGTGATCGCGCATGCATGCATGCATACAATTACGTAAAAGACGGGCCTCATTGAAGAAACAACGCTTTCTTTCAAGCGAACGCAATTAGAAACACGTGATCGATCAATTACGTTCGGAATTTCCATTCGTAGTATTACTTGGAATTGAACAATTTGGAATTTCTAATTTCTTTGAAAATTTCCATCCAATAACTGATCAACTTATGTCGTTAAACTGAATTCCTATTATTATACCTTTTATTATTATTTATTATCCTTACTTGCTTATTCCATCGCGAATTATAATGTTTCGAATAATAATAATTAAATTAATTGACAACAAATTTAAGTTATTAATGTTAAATAAATATCGAATCTAATATTTCGATATTTATGAAATTATTAATTTGTATTATATGATTAAATTTATTAGGTTAATACTAAATAATTTTACAATTACTACTCATATATCGTTTAATTTGATTTTATTATTTATAGATGTATTAATAGATTTATTATTTATAGATACAGTAATATACCTACTATTAAAAAGATTAAGACTTTAGTACGACAACGTACTCAATTTTTTTTAACAAATTTTACAGTTATTAGTGAATTGATTAGAAATTGAATTCGTCCATTTCTATTATCAATTCGATTAACAGCAAATTTACTTGCATTTGCTTGTCATTTACTTCTAACATTATTCTGTAAAGTATAATGCTACTCTATTAAAAAAGTTTCACGTCAAATAAAATGAAATACAAATTACTCATTCATCCAGTAATATCTATTTGGTCACCTTCGTAATAATCCTCGTTGCATGCAATACACTCATTTCAACGGTTTTTCTATATAGTCTTCACAGCATTGCTGAAACTCGATTTCTAATATGGCTTTTAGCTCATTTAGCGAATTTTGTTTTATCACCTCAATTGACTCAAGATAGCGTCCCCGTAGTGAAAGTTTCTGTCTGGAAAACAGGAAAACGTTGCACGGCGCTTTGTCAAGTGAATACAGCGCTTACGAGATGATGTTACTCAAGTTTACGGCCAAAAAGACGCGAATAAGCATCGAAATGTGAAATTCCGTCAGTTGTTTTGTCATAAATCATGCAAACGCTTCATGATACCTAAGTAATGTTGTTTATTGACTGTTTAAAGAGGGTAGTGTAGGTTTCTATGGAGTTTTATTTACGTAAATTGGATATCAGAAATTTGGTAACAGTTTTCAACTGTAATTGGTATTTTCTGTTTATTTTGAGCAAGAAGTTTTGTTTAAATTGTGAAATTTAATCAATTATTCTTAAATTGAGAATTGAGAATCTCAATAATGTGTTAGATACTTCAGAATTGAGAAATTTGATTTTTAAGTTGAGAATGAATGATCTTGGGAGTGTGTTAAATACTTCATAATTATGATCTTGCCCATGTTGATAAAACTGTTCTCCATTGTAGGTGATATTTGAACGATATTGTGACAGAGAATCGACTTTTCTATTTATTGTGCAGCGCAAATAGCTCCCTATCGCTCTGATAAAATAAAGAAAAAGCAGTAAAATAGTACATACAGGGTGCGACATAAATCGGTCGCCATAATACTTTAGCTGATACTTTAACAAAAGAATATTTCAAACGAAAGTTCATTGGTATTAAGTGAAGAGTTTATTGCTGTAAAATAAATCTTTGAAAGTATCTCTTTCCATAAAAAAATTGAAGATAACCTGTATTTTTTAAATAGCATTATATATTTTCCTTTGCATATTCGGAAATTACCTGAAGAAACCAATTCAATAGAAAAAAATGCGTTATACTAATTATCTGATCCTAGAATAATTTGATTTACTTGTGAAGTACAGTTCTCGAGTTGATCGACGATACATAACGTCGACAAACTGAACCCAGACACAAACGTTAATGAAAACATGCACAAGATAGTACGAATTATCCTATGGAGGACACAGACATATCCGGCACCCACTAAGCGCGTCGCATTGGCTAGCGCCTCGACAACTCAAAGTGAAGATTTACTTTAAAATACAGAACAAGGCCTCAACAACATTCCCTTTATCCGATACACCCTTAAATCCTCTGTTGTTCCAACGAAATCCTCTAAGATTTGAAAAAACACGAGACACTCTTAATGCGTCTGGTGTGCACTAGTGGCACGACGACCCGTTCGTTAGTGGCGTACTGATGGCTAGTTTCGCCGTCGCGAAACGGTTAATGTATTTCATTTCTTACGTTCTTTAAAATTATCAATACTATCATCAGGTGTTGCGTAAACAACTGACTGAAAATACCCCCGGAGATAGAAATCTAAAGGGTTTATGTCCGGTGAGCTAGCTGGCCAGCAAGTTACACCACATGTACCGTATTTGCGATGTTTACCGAATTAGTTTTTTCATACAGTTTCCTAATATGCAAAGCAAAATACATAATTCTATTAACAAAACACAAGTTGACATCAAATTTTTTTGGAAAAAGATACATTCAAAGATTTATGTTACAGCAATAAACTCCTCACCTAATAGATACCAATGAACTTTCGTTTGAAATATTTTTTCGCTAAAGCATCAGAACCAGCTAAAATATCGTGGCGGCGGATTTATGTCACACCCCGTATATAACTCAATTTTGAAAAAAAAAAGGGATTTATGGATTTGGGTTAGTTTGGCTCCGTGGTACAGAATTGACAAACGAGTTTGTCCCGGAACTTTTTCAACAGAATACCTGACAAGTATTATAAAAGCGGAGTCTCACTTCGTTACAACAAAGTGGTATTTCCCTTTCCATCGAAAGAAACGCACGTTTCGCGCGTTACTAGGAAACAATGGAAGAAAGTAAAAGTAGCCGGGTGTATTGACATCGATCGACCGAGGTAAAAGTCTATCCACTTGCAGCGGACGCCTTAATGCACCCCGTGATCATCCGTCCTACGATGTACAACGTATCAACTCGCTTAATAGTAAGCTCACGACTATTGACTTTCCGTCCGTAGGTTTGATGGCCGCGGAGGCGGTAGCCGCCATGCTTGCAGACGATTTGGCCACCAAAGCGTTGAACGACAAAACGGCGGACGCGATGATCTACAGAATGTATAAAAATCTTCCGGTCAATTAGGCCCATACTCAAGGACACTCTGCTCTTTCAATTGGACTTTCGTGACTCTGACAGGTTTCTATTATACGATATACGTCGTCATATAGCGCTCAAAATAATTCTTTCCACTCGAGAGTGGAGCGATTTATTGAGGATGAGAGGAATTTTGTGATCTTGATAGAGGAATATTTGTCGTGATTCAAAGTGGAATTTGCATGAAAGATTTTTCAGTTTATAGAAATTTTGTGAAAGATGAGGTGTTTTGACTGAATATATCAGGGTTATTTTGAGCAGTATGTGAATATTTTTATGATTATGGTACATGTTCTTTGCACTGGTTAAAATTGGTGAACATTTCTATGAGTTTCCCTTTCGTATTTTTATTGAACGATTATAAAATTCGTTTGCAAATTGTTTTTAAGAATTTTTTTTAAACGAGTTACATTTTATCAAACAATCTCCTGAAGTATTAACCAATAACCGCATGCTTCTATTTATTTAGTCGTTTATTATTATTTATTAATATTACTGACTGCAAGACTACGTGATATCGACGAGTCATTAACTGATTAACTTCTTACTAGTGTTATCCTCAATCTTGATTTATATAACGTTGATTACTATAAAAATCTCATATATGTATTTATCACACACACATGTTTTTACATTACGTACGCGAGTCGAACTGTTTTATATACTTTAAGTTAATCTAGCTTAATTTATAGTTAAACTGTAAAATTCATTTTCCATCAATTTCCATCAAACTTTCCTTTCTTTGCTCACATGAACATTTGTAATCCTGTCAATTTTTTACGAACTGAAATTTCCATTTAAAGCTTAAAGCAATGAAAATCCCTAAAAAATACAAATTCCTTTTGTACGTTAGATTTCTCTTCAACTCGGTAAATTCCCTTCTTCACTTTGCATAATTCTTCGTTCTAAAGTACCTAAGGCTCCATTTTAATAGAGTTTCAAGGAGCTTCAAAATCTGTAATTTTTATTTGCAGATTGAATTTTCTAAAGTCTCGAAAAACGCGAACCTCTTTTCGCAAGGGAAGACGTTTTTTAAACTAAAAAGCATAAACATCCAATTTTTCGCAATCCTGAAAATGCATTCATAGCTCAATTACTCTTCGTTTTAACCCTTTGATTACTTGTACAACACATAAGTAGGCCGCTACTTTAATTCCTTTTTAAACTAAATCATATCAAAATTATAAATTCGTAGCTACGCCAACGACATACTTTTATTCCGTAAAAGTATGTGAGTTTACTGATTGCATTTATAGCGTTTCGTGAGTGCATGCATGAGTCTATCGTCTTCAAAAGGTTAAACAATTCCTCTACCAATACACTTTCCTATTAAATCCAAACACGCTTATAATTTTGCAAATCCATAAGATACACCCAAAACAATCCCCTTATCAAAATAATTCCCACCATTCGAGCCATTCATTATGAAAGTAGGGCAAGTCTATCTTTGTTCCGACTGTTGTTTGTTTACAGATAAAAATGTCGCATTAAATTTTACCTATTGCTATCACTAACTTCATTTTTCTCAAAAATGGACTTGCCACGCTTTCAAAATAAACGTGTCATATTCCAATACATTTACCACTCTCTTGAACTTCAAATAACGACGAATAAATCAGATAAATCAGGAAATGTAAACTTCCCAAGTGCAAGAGAGTACGCCTAATGATCCAACATTATTCATCAATTACCATCATGAATCTTCCTCTCATTTTATAACGCGAAACTATCGATTATACAGCTATTTAAGTCAACGATCATCTTATGTACGTGTAAAAGGATAAACGGGTGGACGATTTATAGCTTTGCGACTTCACGAGCGTTCGATTCACGTGAAAACACGCGATCGAGGTGCACGTGCACGCGTGAAACTCGTCCACGAGGCTCTCGATACGTTGTGTCACCATGTGGTTGCTGATTTGCAAACGGGTTTCGCGAACGTTACGCGCCGTTTGCAGCATTCGCAGCGGAACCAATCAGGATCCGCCAGATTTTACATAATCGCATTTGGGAAAATCAACGAGTTGCAGTAACGTTCATTGGGGAAAGTGGCTGTCAAACGCGAGCAAATCCCGCGGAATTAGGAGGCTAACTCCATTTTTAGCTTCGATCGGTCGGCCAGTCTATCGATTTGCAACGACATTTCGTTGGTTCTTGGTTATTATTATGTTCATTTATTAGATGTACAAACGAGTACTCCGCCATTTTTACCTCCCACCGTTTTTCAACACCTACCTTTTCCCCACATTTCGTGCAAGTTAAATTTATTTATGATAAGTTGAACTAGAAAGGAACGTGGAACTTCAATTACTGTTATAATTAATATTTATGGTGGAATTGAAATTATTTTTCCACACGTGTAAGGAACAGTGGAATACTTATTCTCATAATTTTTCAGTAGGTACTAAATACTGAATTCTCATGATTTTTCTCACATTTTAGGTAAATTGGAGTTTGAAACTTGATAGAAAAGTGAGAATTTGTTTATGATAAATCGGACTAGAAAGGTGTAGCGAAGATGTAATTTAAATTATTTTTCCACACGCAGGCAAGAAATAGTGGATTACTTATTTGTACAGTTTAATATATTGATCGATATATTTATACGGATAATGTTTTCGTAAGTAGATTGTAATACCATGTTTTATTATAGCATGTAGGATTTGTATCTTGGAATTAACGTTGAATTATTGAATTATATATTTCTTATTGATATGTATGTAATATTTCGTGGAGAGTTCAGGATATTTTAACGAGGTACATGTATAATTGTAGAAATAATAGGTGTATAAGGTAATTGTACTAATATATTGTTCTGTAAAGATACTTTGAAGATTTAAGGAATGAAATAAAAGAATTGCTCTATGTCTGAAGTCTACCATACTTCTAATCTCCTATATCCTGCAATAATGCATAATAAATAATTGTAAAGAGTGAAAACTAAACTGGTACTCTTCGATGAATTTTAGTAATATTGTGAATTTCCGTAATTCAAATATTCTATATAAAATTTCAATTACTATACTGCTAAAATTCATTAAAGAGTATCAGTTCTCACTTTCTTACAAGCATTTCTTATGAATTATTCTACAAGCCTTATCTTGCACCAAATGTGAAATCATTTTAATAAACTTGGAATTTTGTAGAATAGATCTTAAAATTCTGCAGAATAGATTTTCATAAACTTAGAATTCTGTAGAGTAGGTTGTAGATACACATAAAGTGGTAAAATAAAATAGTGCACATAAAATTCCTGAAGAGTATCACATTAAAATTGCCCATGAAGAAAGCAAAAGTACCATAAGTTATTAAGTTCTACGAAATAATACGTTCGGCAACTGTAACAATACTTAAGAGGTGCTGCTACAGGAAAGCAATTAACAGCAGTTTCACGCCTAAAACTTTCCTCGAAACATCGTGCAAATGATGATTCACTACACTCATGACCTAAATGTGCAAAGCAATCGATTACAAAATCGTAGCAAGCTAGGTAATCAAAATTTTGCAGCACTCCATACCCAAAGATAACATTCCTTTCGAATATACGCTTGCAAATGGTATTTTCCTTTTATCGCGCTCTTTCGAAATCCCGAATTACGACAGGAAATATTAAGCGGAATTTGAGACGAGGACACAAGGCCTATTAGATTAACGGCGAGTCACTAGGAAAAGAGTTATTATCGCGTTTCTTGGCCAGTGGCGAGATCAATTGCGATACGAGGATGTCATTAAAGGAAACTGCAGTCAGCGAAGAAAAAGGAAATACCTTCTGTGTGATTAAATTGTTTATAGATACATAAATTGTTTTAGTTTCTCATTTTTAGTAACGTTTATGTAACTTTCTACAGTTCGTTCGATTATTGTAGCACGCGGAATTATGTAAATGAAAAATCAATAGCTTTATTGGAATTTATGGTTCACGGATGGCACATCTTGCAAATGAACGGTGGTTTGGAATACTTTCCAAAGTGTCTACTAGGAAACTTATGTCAATTGTGTAATATATATGGGTTACATAATGGACTTGGTGTATTCCTATTCGAAAATTAAATTTAATATCGAATAAATAAATTTTCCTTGATTAATCCGAAGAAAGAACGTAGAATAACTCCTGAGATAAAATTTTTTATCAGTTGAACAATTCTACGGAAGAGGATGTTTCAATTTTGAAAGAAATTGTATCGTTATTAATTTCGGTACGTTACTTTTTTTCGTTAAGCAGAGATTCACTTAAGTACCGAAGAAGAAATCTTTTGAGCGCTCTCACTGAAGTGTGCCGGCCGAATTTTAGCCGTCGAACTTTTACTTCCTTGGGGAACCTCTGACATAATAGCCATTAAAAATGCAAATGCGTGCAACAAGGAAAAGTATACATTATCCCAAATCAATATCGACCTCCTTAAAATGCATTGTTCAATCATTTTCTTTGAGAGGTAAGTAACTTTTTATTTACTGCTGATCGCAACGACTTGTCGTCTTTAATCTTAATTTTATATTAAAGTAGCATAAGGATAATAATGTATGAAAATTTCGAAGAATTCCTCGTAACAGCAATTTTTTAAATAGTTCTAATTACAGCTTCGATTTTTAAAAAGTTTTCCAACTTTAAAGACAAAGGTAAACATGTTGAATACTACTTTGACAGCTATTACTTTCACAAGTGGGAAAACTGGAAGCAAGGGAGACAAAGAAAAGATTCTGAATAAAGAAAAGAAGAAAAAAATATTCATGTTTTAAAATAGAAATAATAGAACATTGATAATAGCGAAAATAATAGAGAATGAAAGGAAGACGAAACATCTTAATAAAGACCCTAATGCGATAAAAAAAGTGGATAGAAATAAATATCAAAGAAAACATTCAAACTACCCTAATAAAAATCCTAATACAAGTACGAAGAAAATTCCTACAAAGGTATCAAAAACACTTGAACAAGAATTCCAACGTGAAAAGTAAAACATTAATATGCAAAAGTATACCAAAAACGTTCCAGTGAACACCTTAACACGAAAAAACAGCAGAAAATGTTTACGGTCACGTTAAATCGCCTTACCAAAGACTCTAATAAATACTTTCCTAAAAACTTCTCGCCAGAGGCAGTAAAACGCTCGAATAAGTAAATATTGGCAGAAAAGTACCCGCAAAAGTAACAGAATTCATCATTTTCAAATTATAGTGTTGTTTTTGTTGGACCTCGCAATATCTCACAGTTCACTTTTTATTGTGATTATTCTACTTTGTATCTCTTACAAATAGAAGTAAATAAAATCAGTCATATCCACCTTAACCCTTCGCTTTACGAATTTTATTTAATAGCTGTGCATGCGTACATCGGCTATTTATACGTTTCAATACCACGTCAGGTAAGGAAAGCTAAAATATTGTAAATTATTCATATTTAGCAATTCTTAAATTTATAAATCAAAACTGCAGCTGAAACGAACCCTTTCGCTACCAAGAACGTATACAGGGTGGGTCACCTGATACTAGAACCTGTCGATTATACCGAAAAATGTTTCAGATAAAAGTGGAATGGTATTAAAGAGGACATAATTTGACGTAATTAATTTTTTCTTAGGTCGACGTATGGAGGAGGTCAAATTTGTTCCTTAAATGTCATACTCTCTAAAGGACAATCTTCGACATTCTAATGTTCCAATTGTTAAATTATCTGAAGGTCAACATATTACACACAAAATGGTGTAGTCGGATTCGACTCATTACCTTCTGTCATTCTGTAGAAAAAATAACGTACATGCAGGTACGTGCCGGCACCACTTTGCAGTGTTGAAATTATAACACCTCTTAAACTAATGATTTTTTTAGCTATTAAAAACGACGAGCTGAATCGATCAATGGATCAAAAAGTTCCGTTTGAAAAAAGAAATTCGACCTTGGTAAAATCTAACTCCGTTAAATTATGCCCCCTAGATATTACCGTACCTTTTCCTGCAACATTTTCCATTCATTTTCCTCCATTACATTTGGCTACGGCCCTGACTGAGTTAAAAGGAGGCATTCTACCGTGATAAATTTACCATCGCGTAAAGCAAGGTGGGGAGCGGTTGTACACGCGGAGAAAGTGCTGTTAGTTTATATATACCCAGAGAGCGCGGGCCATCGTACGCATTTTCAATATCGCTCTCGCTAATTGCGATCTGAACGCAGAAGTTACGTTAACGCGGTCTTCTGAAACATAAACCCGCGACAGGATGACGTTGCTGATCGGATTGTTCCTAATTGCCAGCTGGACCGGAGTGACCATCGCTCAACTGCGTAAGTACCCGCGGATCGTTCGCAACTTTTCGGCTATTCGACGATTTTCCGTGTTTCCAATTGACTAAGAATGAATAGAAGAGTGTTGGATAAAACTGAAGAGCTTTTTTATTAGGGAGATTGATGGTTAAATTGAGATATAGTATTTTTGGTTGAAAGTGCAAGTTGTAGCGTATATTTTATGTAATAACACCGAAACAGAGCTCTAAGGGTGATTGTGAGTTAATTTATTTAATTACGAGAAGGATTCGTCAATGTACGTAAGGAGAAGCGACAAACGAAGACACGTAGGATGCAATTGATTCGGGTGTCTATGTACTCTGCCGTTCATAAATATTAGGACACCTATTGTGTATTACATAATTTAAATTACATTTCTTCGTCAAAAATATACAGGATGTTCGCGTTACCTTCCAACGTTTTCACGAGGAAAACAAAAGGGGACAAAGTTTCAGTACTTCTGTACACAATACGATTGCTTGAATAGATTTTTTGAAATCTTTTTTCCATATTATGAAACTTTTTTAATTGGAAGCTATAATTCGTTTTATATTATACGAAAGCGAGACAAGTTCAACGACTCAATTAGTATAATCAATGACGCACTATTAATACTTTATTTGTACGACGGCATCTTAAATGGAAATTCAGAAGTTTTATCGTATGTACTGTGAAATTCCGGACCGAAAATCTTGCAATGACCGTATAGGTTTGCTTCACATTCCACAAGTGTCCTAATACTTACGAACGAGAGTGTAAAAATTAGTATTCTGATCATTTATTCATACAAAATGGATTCAACTTTTCTCTCTCTTTCTGATATCAGTAGCAATTATGTACAATGTTGATTACAACATTGTGGCGTTTGTTGTCTGAATTTGTAAAAATTTGACACTTTAATTAATTTTCACGATGCTTGACGTTTCACTAATTTTTGAAACATGAATTCGAGGTATTTTCCACGTATTTTTCGTACGAGTCGCTTTTCTGAAGTGAAAGAAAAAAGGGACTGGAAAATTAAGTCTGTAAGTAAAAGTAATTTCTACTCAATTTTTCTTTCAAAATTGTACCTATGAACTGGTTTCTTTCTTCGAAATTTATTATGGTATGGAACCCTGCAATTATTGTAACAAAGTAAGTGAGATAAAGGGGTGACATCTGAATAATGAATAATAAATATTGTTAAATATTTTCGTATAGATTGTAATTTTAATAAGTATCATTCGATTGAGGTAGATTGCATCCCTTTTGGTAAGTGGATAAAATTGAGATTGTGGGAGGACAAAATTGTGGTGCTTGAAAATGAAGAAAATATTAAATTGACAATTTAACAGTCTTCTTCACCAAAAAATAATGGTAAACGCATCTAAACTTCGTTGTAGTATATCACTCTTATTACTCATATTATTCTTCTCCACCGAATTTCTGTATATTTCTTCGAACGTAGATTGCTGAGAAAGTGGTAAATCGAATTGCAGAAAAATGTCAAAACGTCTGAAAATTAGTGGTTCACTCCCAAGACGTTTGAGAAAGTAGCCAATCTTTATTTTTCATCAGAAACTCTATAATTAATTCCAAGAGTTGCAACACGATAATCACGACTCGAAAAGTATTCAAAGTAGTTAATGTACGAACAGAATTTGTGATACGTCCTGCTTGAGGAAAACGCCGTAATGTCAACGAGTACGGTGTACTCTTACGTTAATCTGATGTACCAGTTTTAGAAAATTCCAGCAGCCTGCGTGGAAACGTTACAAGGACGATCTTAATAAGAATTAATTCCTGATAACGCAACAGCTGCAATTTCACGTCGTTATTAATAACATAATAACAACACACTTTCCATAGTTTCCACGGGCAGGGAAAAGTTTTATCTTCGAGATCTCACTGTAAAAGCTGCGAATAATGAAGGAAAGGCGACGAATGGATTTCCATTAAAGCAAAACAAACAAAAAAAGTGGCAATAAATGGAAGAAAGTGAAATAAAATTGAGGTAAACCGTCGCTTTTACGATTTATAAACGTTAAAGCGCATTGTCATGGTGCATTAGGTGATTTTACGGAACGAATCGGTTATTCGCGAAGAAATTTCTTCGATTTTACGAGAAACGCTTGCCTCGAGAGAGAAAAAGTCGCATTATCGACGGAAGCGAGAGGAGATGCTTGAAAAATTCATCGTCTAAAGAACTTTCATCCACGAGTAGGCACACTTAACAACTGTAAACACCTGTTCGAGAAGCGTTGTGTAAAATGTGACGTAACAAACGTGTAGAACGGTTCTGAGAGAGGTTTTTGGTGTGAACGTAATCGATCACAGGGGAAAGGGATTTGATAGTCGTTCCTCGAATTTCTTGCACACACGAATAGACATGTACAGGGTGTCCCAGTTCTTTCCGATCAAACTTTGTCAGTATCTTCTATGGGTATAGATAAGAAAAAAATGTTATATAAACATTGGTCCTTTGAAGCTTTGTCAAAAAATTATAACAGAAATACGAAGGGAATGGTATCGAACTTGCTGTTACTATGATACGAGACGAGAATGTCACTTGCAAAAGTTACCATCAGCGACCTCAGATCGTAAGAACAGCTTGCATAAACAGACTAAATGTGCATATCGCTGATCTATTCCTTTTTTGTGTCGTAATAACCGTACATCCGTTACCATTCCTTTCGTATTTTATGTTATAGTTATAACTATTTGACAAAGCTTCAAACGACCTATGTTTATATAATATTTTTTTCTCACTTATACCCATAGAAGATACTGGCAAAGTTTGATCGAATACAACTGGGACACCCTGTATGTGTTTCACTGATTAATTAAACTGGAAGATAGCCTGTAGAGATAAACAGTAAATTCTCTACAAGTGTCAGTCAGTTTGGATTCTACAAGTGTCAGTATAGATGGTCTTACGCCTATGTTATCTCGCTCGCTGTCAGTCAAGCGTGTAACGCCACACCACTCGGTTTCTTTTACGAAATTTCAGGACAATTCATAATAGAAAAATATAATTTCTTTAATTTTACTTTTTTTCATCTGAAATTTGTTTTAACATATTGGTGAGATTTTTCTGGTGAAAATTATATCGTGTTTGATGTCATTTTCATCAGAAAAATCTCATCAATATGTTAAGAAAAATTTCGGGATAAAAAAACGTAAAATTAAAAAAGTTAGTATTTAAATCCCTTGGTTGCCTCGACTCACGTTTCATCCTTATCTTTTATTCTCTGTCCTTGTCTACGTTCGGCAAACTACAAAGGCGGGCGCGAGGCTCGAAAACGTAGTCCCTGACTCTACAAGTGTCAGGTTTAGGTTCCTTGCGGACTGACACTTGTGGAGAATTTACTGTAATTAGATTTCAAGGAAATATGGAAATTTGATGAAACCGGTAAATAGATTAATTCTACGAAAAAGACGTGAATTAATAAATCAGTGGAGATTGCAGTGTACAAGGAGGTAAAAATTATTATTTCAGAAATGAAAGGATAATGATACTTAATGTAACTTGAGGTTTAATACTTGTTAGAGGTAGTTATATCAGTATATTGGTTACATAAAATTGTCGAGCCTTTCTTGGTTATTATTTCTTTATTTTGATTTTAAGTCCAACTTTGTTATTACGAATACACGTATATTTTATTATTATTTGTGCAAAACTGAATTCCACTTGCAAATATAGATAATGTAGCTTGATATCATTCCTTCAAAGTATACAAAATTCACTAAAAGAATAATTTGTCAAACTTCACTTGAATATATTTACATATCCGTGTCATCAGAAGAAAATAAAGATAATGTAATTTCTTATGATTCTTAAGCATAAAAAATTCATACCTTTAAAGATGGAGTAGAAGATGTACTCTGGAAGATCAATAGAGCATTTTGTCGATCTAAATCACACAAAAAGCAATGCACTCTCTCATCGCACATTCAAAAATCTAAAACCCAAAACCGAAGATCAATCGATACGTTTTCAGGTCAATGAAAATCACACGTTTCCATCACCAAAGCGAAACAAAGGCAGTACATACACCTTCTCTTTATTTCTTCATGGTTTTACAAACTTAAATATTGTATAGAGAAAACGCAATCAACAGATTCTCATATTTTCATCAAACCAAAACAAGGAACAAACCTTCTCCTCATCACTCACTCAGAAGCTCGACAAATTCTCACTCAAAAATGGGCAAAACTCATTTTCATCACTTACTAAAAAAACTCGGCACATTTTCACTCAAAAACTCAAAACATTTTCACTTGAAAACTCAACACATTCTCATTCAAAAACAAACGAAATTCCTCCTTGTCACTCGCACAAAGACTTAACAGGTTCACGTTCAGTAAATTAAAAAATCTCATTCAAAAGTAGATAAAACTCCTCGTAATTCATTCAAGAACTTACTGAATTAAAATACTCAAACATGACACACCCAGGCGTTTCTCAATCGATAGTTATTTCCTCGATCAAATCGCCCACATAAATCTAGAACAACCTACATAAAGGAACAATCGCCAGATTAATCCAGATTTCATCTACCATTCAGCTTGATTGTTACTCCGTTTCACTTGTAGCATTTTTACTAGTAGGTCGTGTAATATCAAGTGTCGAATCAATCTCAAATTAATTGCTCAAGTGATCACTTGAGTGTTGAAAGGTTCGGAGTTTTTCCGTATTAATTTAAAGTTCATACAATTCTTAGAAAGTTACTATTGGCAAATCTAAGGGTGTTTGCTTGAATTAAACAAAGATTCATTTTACACGACCTAGTTACTAGTATTCTTTTTTTTTTTTAGCAGTATCAACCTCTTTAATAATAATTACAAAAAATAATCGGTATTATCCTATAAAAAAATCTTTCTTCAAACTTATAAGTATAATCAAAGAGTGCATCAGAAGAACCAACAAGTACAAAAACTGAAATTTTTCAGGAAAAGGAAAATAAACTTCGAAACAGAAAGAATCCGATACTTTTATACATTTCTCAGTGAAAATATTT